AGCAAACTAAGCAGCCGCCATTTAATTTGGCAAACAAAAGTTTGTCTGCATAACACCGACCTTATATACATCTCCAGATAAACATCGATATATCGATGGTATCCGATGTTTTGCAATTTGTTAGTTTTTAGTTAAATTTAAAGCAATATTGAATACTTTAATAATTGTGAATGTATTTTCCTGTATTTCATTATCTTTTCTATACCCTTTCTATTATTAAAATCAAACGGCATACCATCGTAAGGTCGTTCGGACCTACAGATCCTAGGCCTGATCTTGTTGAAATTCTAAGGGCCGGTTACTCAATGTCTGGTTAACACTAATCTGCGGTTAAACATCGTTATCGACGTCTCGACTCCATGCATACAACAGGGAGTCTGCAACNTAAACATCGTTATCGACGTCTTCGACTCCATGCATACAACAGGGAGTCTGCAACGTCGATTACTATATTTAACCGGAGATTAGTGTTAACCAGACATTGAGTAACCGGCCCTAAGGGGTATTTGGGATGATCACAATATAAATTTTTCCAATCAGAGAAATGTACGTATTCTGCACGTATTAAGCATTGCCTTCTTTGTACGTATTGTTTTGTACAATATGGCAACACTTGTTATGGGTCAGTTTGCAACCATGTGTTATTGTAAATATTGGTGCAATTCAATGTAATTTACAAGTCAAAAAAGTTGATTAAAGTGATTTATTTACAACATAAAATAAAATAAAGTATTAAGTACAGTGTTTTGTGCATTTATATATATATGAAAGTATGTGACTTAAGAAATTTTAACAACAAATTACTTATAAACAATGATATTGTTTATATTTTTTTTGTTATACATGATTTAGAGGATACCTCCCCTAACAGCCTGGCCAAGTTTCATTTGTTAATTCAAACTGGTTTTCTTAATAGGGCTTTCGCACGAGGCGATTTTTCAGGCAACTTTTGTGTTCAACTCACGCAGGGTTGCACGAAAAAATCGTACGTATGTTAATCGATCATTAGTGTCAACCAGGCTTTGAGCAACTGGCCCTTAGCCATTCAACCTTTTTTTCGTGCAACCCTGCGTGAGTTGAAAGCAAAAGTCGAACCCAAAATCGCCTTGTGCGAACGCCTTTTAATACCATGTTCTGACCGACATCGAAAACATGTTTTCGTTGGTACAACTGGTTTTCGACCATGCAAAATCTGTCAAACGCAAGCTAGTTTTCGCTGACAACCACTTGAAAACACACGTTCCACTCATTCCAATCGGTGTCTGCACTAGTTTTTTCGACTATTTATCGAAGTGGAAGTCATATTTTATCATCTTAAATACAGCATTTCGGATTTATTGGTAGTTGGCTGGCAAAAGTAAAATAAGAATGAAAGTAAGAGGTTGCTAATTGGGGTGTTCACAGTTCGTTCCAAATAGTGTCTCAAAATGTAGACGTCTACATTTTAAGACGTTTTCTAACCGTAAAATCTGTGGTGTTGTTGTTTCCCATACAAAATTGGAAAACGACGCCGTCTACATTTTGTCACACTCAAAGGTATGTTTTTTACGCGTCTACATTTTGCAACCTCGCAGCAGGGTTGCATTATGGCAATACTAATCACATTTTTTTTATTTATTGGGCACGTTTTCTGTATTTGCATTTAATTTGAGCGCAATTTCTGATGAAAAGAAACAAATCAAGGAAAAGAAATAACAAATATTAGGAATTGGTAATTAAGTTAAATAATTACAATTTTTCAGAAACAAAATCGAAAGGCGACATATAAAAAATGCACGCAAAGAAGAAATGTCTGGCAACACCAGCAAAGTTTTGAGACGATTTTGCGACGACTGCTAGAAAGGGGTGCTCACAGTTTGATGCTAAAAATGTCTCAAAATGTAGACGTCTACATTTTCAGACACAATTTGGAACGCACTGTGAACACCCCAAATGTAAAATAATAAATGAAATCTCCATCTGCGGTCACTGAAACGCAGTTAGCAACGTATACGGGAAAAATCAATGCTGTCCGNTTTTGTGTAGCAAAACTGTAATCAGAGGATGTAAGAAATGTCAACGAAAACACTAACAGCCGGTGTGAACAGCCTTCAGCCCACAATCCCAAAACACATTTTCAAAGTGTTTTCGTTGTCGGTCAGAACATGAGTTGTGTTTTCGTATTCTCTAGCAAAAAATATCCAGTAACTTGCCAGTAACCAAATTTCGGAGAGTAAGCCAATATTTACTCACAATGAGTGAAATTTGCAAGAAAGTACGAAAACGCAAAACCAGCAAGAAGTTCCAAGTTTTATGAACAGCTGATTAATTTGTTATTTTCCGATGCAATTTTCTTAGAAAACTAGTGTTTTTCATCTTATTATATATTTAAATGGGTTTATTTTGTCAATTGCAACTCTAAAAGCACCACAAACAATTATTTTCTTAATGTGATTTACAATAAGCATCATGCCATCAGCTGTTTTTCTTACTAGCAAATAGTTTCTAGTAAAAATTTATCCAGTAAAACTCCAGTAAAACTTGCAAGTTCAGCTGTCATTTTTGCTCTCTCAATTTCCCCTCTTTTGCTAGTGTCTTGCAAGTTTTTGCGTACGAAAACGACATCCGGTAAAAACCAGAAAATTAGTACTGGATTTACTGGATAGTGCGTACGCGAACAGGGCTATGGTATAAAACAAAAGGTGCGGCTGACTACTAAAGCCCACCCGATGTCTTCGATATATCGACTTTGGAATTTCGATTCAAAAATCGATTATGGTGCCATTTCTAGTCAGAGGTTGTAATAGGCCTGTATGCAGCTCTCAAGAAAAGCAAAAACTCCATATAAAATGACGTACAAGAAATGGCTAAGAAATTTTCTTGAGTCAAATTTCCTTAAGGGCCTGTATGCAGCTCTCAAGAAAAGCAAAAACTCCATATAAAATGACGTACAAGAAATGGCTAAGAAATTTTCTTGAGTCAAATTTCCTTAAGGCAGTACGCAGTTCTTAAGAAATTTACTACGCTTTCTACTACGGTTTTCTAAAGTTTTTTGTGAAAAAAGAGCACAAGGCAACCCAGGTTTGCAACAGAAATATATGCCCGTTCCATTATTTCTTGAGGAAAGAGTGAGGCAACAGGCTGTGAGGTATCAAAAATGTCAAAATTCCTTGGACACACACGCGAAATAATGGCAATTTTTTCTTGACCGTTTTCTTGAGAGCTGCATACAGGGCTTAAGGCAGTATGCAGTTCTTAAGAAATTTAATACGTTTTCTTCTACGGTTTTCTAAAGTTTTTTGTGGAAAAAAGAGCACAAGGCAACCCAGGCTTGCAACAGAAATATATGCCCGTTCCATTATTTCTTGAGGAAAGAGTGAGGCAACAGGCTGTGAGGTATCAAAAATGTCAAAATTCCTTGGACACACACGTGAAATAATGGCAATTTTTTCTTGACCGTTTTCTTGAGAGCTGCATACAGGGCTATTCCAAGGCGAATTTATACAAGGTGGTGTTGATGGCGAATTAAATTTTCGCCGCAGTACTACTGAATGTCAAAATGATGTGTTTGTTGTAATCAAGGCGAATTCATTTTACAACAAACACATCATTTTGACATTAAGACGTACCTCGGCGAAAATCCAAATTCGCCATCAACACCACCTTGTATAAATTCGCCTTGTTGTATACGTTAAGTTCTGAACACATTGAAAACGACGAGCTACCGACCACAGCTTCCAATTTGTCATCTTTATTATCTAAGCGCTTTGTCGATGGCGACATGATTTCTTTGAACGCGGCAGCGACATCATGAATTTGTATGAGTTTGACATAAAAGAAGAGGAAGAACCTTATCTGTCGCCAGAAAAATAGAAATAGATCTAATCTGGCCACAACCACAGCCGTCGCGTAGCCCGGTCGTCGCCAAAATAATTATCTACATAAGAGTACGTGTTAAAATAATTTGACAGCTGTGGTTTGTAGCTCGTCGTTTTCATTGTGTTCGGGCTATTATTCAGTAACGAATACCACAATTTAACCAGTGACCAACCTTCGGTGAATTTGGCGACTGCCTTCCTCGAGATGAATATGCCAGGGATGAAATTATTGGTACACGCGCCTTCTAAGCCAGCAGGGTTGCTTTTGAGGAACCATAAATAATTAACTCCAAATAGTTTCAAAAAGTATAATGTAAAACGAAATTTATTGAATAATTCCATATAAAATGGTATACATAAATGACTCATTTTCTAAACCATTTCAATAAAACGCATTTAATAACAAAGGGCATATGCCAATTGATAGACAAGTTCTACGGATTGTAAATTTTTGTTAACTATAAGGTGAATGAAAATTTTCAACCCGGCCTGACGGTTTTGAAGTATTTTTTGTTCTAATGTTGTTACTAAGACTTTTAATACATGCATGGCTTTTAGTTCTGGAAGAATCAAAGTCAGTAAAGACTAGTTTTCTTTGTATAACTTCTGCATTTCAATTGCTCAACTTTTTTTGCACCAGAGCAACTGTTAAAAATTTCCAGCAGTAAAATGTTACGAATTGGCATAGCAGAAATGTAAAATTTTCTGCCCATAATAAAAACTTTTTTCAACATGGTACTTTTCTACTATTTGACATAAAATTACTATCTCAACGCTCTGAGCGCTGCCAGTGAGGGTCTTTGCCAATTGATAAAAAAGAGAAAATTTGGAAAGATCAAACAAAAATTAGTGTTAACCAGACATTGAGTAACTGGCCTTAAAGTAGGTTTAATCAACAGTTTGTGCGATTTATTTAGCTCTTAGGTTTGACAAACCGCTTGAGATGACCGGCATGCCGTTTTAATCCTCAGTAAATATACAAGATGGAGAAAACACAATTAGTTGAGTTGATAAGCAGGTGTAATATCCTATTCAATTGAGAGTAGCATTCTCAACATCGATTTTTCCGATATCGATATTGTTCAGCCCGATATATCGCCGTGTCGATTTTACATCAATGAATTTAATCGATTCATGATATCGATACTTTCTTAAATATGGAACATTCCAATTTGCTACAGCTCTAGCTCTGACCTTCTGGTATTCATTTCATCTATTTGAAGTGCAAATCCGAATATAGAAATATGACTGGCATAATAGACTCTGTAGAAATGCCAAAATTGCCGANTTTTTGTACTCCTGCTATCACCTTATATTAATTCGCCTTGATTTCATCTATTTGAAGTGCAAATCCGAATATAGAAATATGATTGGCATAATAGACTCTGTAGAAATGCCAAAATTGCCGGATAATCAAAAGTCTTTCGCAGGTATACCAGAAGCTGTGTTTTTGGTAAGTTTTCATTTTTAATATGTTGACCTAACCCAAATAGTGTTTTCAGAAAATGATTCTAACCACAGGTTTGTACTAATCATTATTCATTGCAGGAGGAAATTGATACATTCATGTCACAACCAGAAAATGAAGATAATTGTGAAAAAGTATTGCAGAGATTAGATGAACAACATAGCAAATATAGATTCATGGCGTATAACCTAGAAGCGAGGCGTCGTAAACTCAAATCACAAATACCAGACTTGCAACGTTCTTTAGAGATGATAAATGTTCTTAGACAAGAGAAAGAAGAGCGCGAAACGCAATTTCTCCTTAGTGATCAGGTTTTTATAAAAACCCTTGTACCACCAACGAAAACAGTGTGTCTTTGGCTCGGCGCTAGTGTCATGTTGGAATATCCACTAGACGAAGCCGAAGAACTCTTGAAACAAAATATGAACTCTGCAATTATAAACCTCAAGACGGTTGAACATGATCAAGATTTTCTGAGGCATGTCAATTTGACAAATCATAAATGCGGCATCTAATTATATTGATTTTATTTATATTTTAGGGATCAATTGACGACCACCGAAGTAAATATGGCTCGGGTCTATAACTGGGGTGTAAAAAAACGACAAGCTGCTGCAAAAACGAATGTTTCCACCACCTCATAATTAAAAAAAAAATCATTTCAATCTATTATTAACGAGAAAATTTGAGGGCAACATGCTTTGTATAACTTCGACTCTTCATGAGTAAATGACTAAAATTTTAAGCTGTAACAGTCATAATGTTTGCCTTAAAAAATCCGTCTTATTTTCGCCCGAAAAAGATTCACCCGAAAATGTTTATTCCGCCAATAGTAAATACATGGAAACCAAAAGTGAACCCGTTCGGGGGAAATTAAACTCATTATAGCCATATACAGTATTGGACATATCTATAGCACCCCCCTTTCAAAGCGATATTGTTTGCCACTTATGTCCAATTATTTGTTTTTAAGAATTTTCAATTAAAATACAATTCATTCTCCAACAAAACCCATATAAACCTATGTTTTAAACTTTTTAAAAGACCGCAAAAAAGTGCAACAAACTTTCCCTTAAATTTCATACTTTTTTCTCAGAGGCTCTAGAATTTTTTTGAGTACACAGTTTTATAGCGCATTCAATTTTGTCCAATTATGTGCAAGTTTCAAGTCGCTAAAGCTTACCGTTGATTTTTTAGAATTTTTTTTTGTCTTATTTGCTTCCATATATGNAAAGTGCAACAAACTTTCCCTTAAATTTCAAACTTTTTTCTCAGAGGCTCATTCTAAAAAATCAACGGTAAGCTTTAGCGACTTGAAACTTGCACATAATTGGACAAAATTGAATGCGCTATAAAACTGTGTATTCAAAAAAATTCTACCGCTTCTGAGAAAAAAAGTTTGAAATTTGGGTGAAAATTTGTTGCACTTTTTTGCGGTCTTTTAAAAAGTTTTAAGCTTGAGTTTATGTGAGTTTTATGAGAGAATGAACTGTATTTTAATTGAAAATTCTTAAAAATAAATAAATTAACATGAGTGGCAAACAATATCACTTTGAAATGGGTGTGCTATTGGAATGGCCAATACTGTATGTAATACTAGATATATATATATTTATCGTCGTTTAAAGTACAAAACCGCGTATCGCCATTCTGCAAAACCGCGTAACTGACATTTGCTGCCAAAAAGCATATAAATACCAGAACTCGGAAAATGCAATTTTGTTTGTTGACAGAAATTGCAACCATATGTTTTGTGATCATATGTTTTCGTGTCGGATAATTTTTGCTGACTAAAATTTTGCCAGTAATGTTAAGCCTTTCATTAAACAGTCGTCCCTCCCTGCTGAAATTAAACTGGCCGCCACAATGAGATTCCTTGCTGAAGGAGGTTTTCAGCGATCTATAGGGAAAGACTTGCATATCGCACTTCATAGATCCACCATTTCGAAGGTTCTTAAAGAAATGTTAAACATTTTAGAAAGAACACAGTGCCCAAAGTGGATTAAGCTAAGAATGAGCTTTGATGAAATCCGTCAGTCAAAATTGTACTTCAGCAATAATTTTAACATTCCTGGAGTAATAGGCTGTATCGACGGGACACATGTGAAATTGCTTAAACCCAACGATAATGATCATCTTTATTATAATAGAAAGGGTTGCTTTAGTGTTAACGCAATGATAGTAAGTAAACCAACACATTTTAAGAAAGAATAATTAAGGTATTCACACCTCGCTGCTCATTCGGTTACCGGTTTGAAAATTATTA